CGACGATTTTGCAGGCTAGGTGTTCTCATCCACATCCTGCACGTGGAGAAGTGGGATCTCATGCAGGGGAGGCAGCTTGCCAAGGTTACACCGCTGGTGGGTGGGGACCCACGGCTTGAACCCGATTCTGACTCCAGAAACTGTACTGTCTCTGTAAATGAGAACGTTGATGCCATACAAAGGATTTTAAAAATGTAAAACAGTGCTGGGTACCATTCTCTTCTGACCTATCCCCAGGCCAGATCCTTTAGTCCAGACCAAAAGCATGACAGTTCCTTCCTCTCTCCCTGCCTCCACAGCAACACTTCCCTGGAGGGTCAGGGTAGGAGAGGAAGGGGTTAGACTGAGGACTCCTGCCAGTGAGCCTTGCCCACCTCCCCACACCCAGAACAAGAGTGTTGACCTTCCTCCTCTCCATTCTCATTTCTACCCCACATCACTCAGTGTCCTTGGGGGGCAGGATGGGTTTACTGGACTGGTGTCTTCCCTCCACCACCAGCTGGGCAAACGGATTTTCTCCCGCATTTGAGCGGGAAGACGACCAAGGAGGTTCACAGAGCAACCCTGGACCCCCAGAGCCCAGTCTGGGGGCCTCTGGGAAGCCAGCAGTGCCTCGACTTTCTCATCTGTGTCTAGAATTCACTTTGCAGATAAAATGGGTGGAATACCGGGGAGAGAGGGCCTGGGTGTTAGAGAAATTTGGTGCTAGTCTTTCGTAAAATGAAATCTAATGCCGCCAGTCTTGTCTGACCCACAAGATGGTAAGATTCAAAATGGATACTGGAAACACAAGTGCTCTGGGAAGCGTGGAGTGCTTTACAGGTACAAGGCGGGATTATTCATACAGGGCACTGGAGGCAGCAGGAATATAAACATGAATGCCATCTTGGAATCTTTCAGGCTGGCAAGGGAAATAAAAATGGCTATAAAAATAGTTAAAATAGGGCCGGCCCGGTGGCGCACTGGATAGTGCACCGCTTGGGAAGCGCGGCGGCGCTCCCCCCGAGGGTTTGGATCCCACATACAGACCGGTTCCTGCTCACTGGCTGAGCGAGGCACGGGAGCAACGCCGAGGGTTGCAATCCCGTTGCCGGTCCCCGGTCCGGTACGGGGGCAACACTGAGGGTTGCGATCCGTTGCCGGACACGGAAAAAGAAAAAAAAAAAAAAAAAAAAAGTTAAAATATAAGACACAATACCTGCAAGTGCTATACAAATACACCCCGAGATGCTGACATATCTTTTGTGGAATAACAAAGGATATATATAACTGGGTAGCCTCTCACCTTCCTACTTCCACTGCAAGAGCTCCTCTTCACAATAGCTCTAACCAATTTGTCTCCTCTCTTGAACTGGCTTCCTTCTCGCCACTCATGTGGGCAGGAATTTATTTTTCCATTGGGGGGAGTGTGTGTGTATTAGTTCCCTGTTGCTGCTGTAACAAGTTTTACCACAAACTTAGCGGTTTAAAGCAACATAAATTTATTACCTTACAGTTCTGGAAGTCAGAAGTCCACTACGTGTTTCACTGGGCTAAAATCAAGGTTTCAGCAGGGCTGTTCCATCTGCAGACTCTAGGGGAGAATCTGTTTCCTTCCTTTTCCAACTTTCAGAGGCTGCCTGCATTCCTTGGCTTGTGGCCCCTTCTCCATCTTCAAAGCCATCAGTGCCAGCAGAGTCGTTCTCATACTGAATCATTCTGACTTCTCATTCCATTGAAACATCTTCTCTGACTTTGGCACTCTTTCCTCCCTCTTTTAATGGTCCTTATAATTATGCGGCCTCTATAGGCCGCATAATTATGCGGCCTCTATAGAATAATCTCCCCATCTCAAGATCCTTAATGTAATCACACTTATAAAATTCCTTTTGCCTTGTAAGGTAAAATATTCACAAGTTCCAGGGACTAGAGGAGGAGGGAGCACTTAAAAGAAAAAAAAAATCTTTGGGGAGAAGGCAGCACTCAAAAGAAAAATATGTAGGGCCTCAAAACAAATTTTTTTCTTTAAAAAAAGAGAAATATAAAATGTTCAACTCTTCCTCTTCTTCAAATAAGAAATAACATAGCAACTTTTTCTATAAATGTAACAGGTTCTGAAATACATGCTTTTCAGTTCCTTACTATATCTATTAAAAATCAGCCTTTCTGCTATCAGGGAAGAAAAGACAACGGATAAGAACAAACACAGACTCCACATAAAAGGGAAGGAGAAAGCCTCCGAAGGCTGGGAAGTTGTAGTACATGCTTCACTAGGACTGTAGGCCACAGCCCTTAGAAATGATTAGCTGTTAACAATTGTTCACAGCTCTTCAGCTGTTCTACTCTACAATCCTTTGGCACCGTAGACTTTAAAATATTTTTTAAAAAATTAATGAACTGTATTAGAGCAGTTTTAGGTTCACAGCAAAATTGGGCAGAAAGTACAGAGAGTTCCCATCAACCCCTGTCCCCACAAACCCACACCCTCCTCTACTGGAAACGTTTTTAAAGCATTAATAAAATCCTTGGATCCTTTTCTTTTCCAAAAGAGATGACTAAATAAAAAAATTAAAATGGTGCTGCTCTGGTTGAAGTGGGCCCATGTAGCCCCTCAACCTCTGTCACATCCTAGCACATGGTTTGGAATCTTTGTTTTGAAGTTGCCTCTCTGAGTGGAAAAATGAGAATAACTCAAGTTAGAAGGTACCCTCTGGACTACAGAATGAGGGAGAGTATCATGTTGAAAATTGTCTGGGCTGCAGAAGCAAGAAACATAATATAATTCTCCCAAGAACTAGAAAAGAGCAGGCTTTCATCATGAGACTTGGTTTTTCCATCTCTGCCACACAGCTTATGCTCTCCTGTGCTACAGATCTGCTTGTTTTAGTTACAACAATGAGAGGGCCTGTGGCAACACAGTGAAAAGTAAACAGCCCCAGAAACCAGGGTGTGGATGGAGATCCATTAATTACATATTTATGAAGCCCCTATCACAGACTGGTTTAGATGCTGGGGACATATTAATTAGGACCTGGTGTGAGCCTTTCATAGTCTAGAGGAGAGAGGGACCAGGGACTTGAAAAAGCAGACCAGCTTCTGCGTGGGCTACCCTGGTACACGGTGTTGGATAGGGTTGTAAGGTAGGTGTACAGGGAAGGCCTGCAGGGCTTTCTAGAGGAAATGGTGTCTAAGCCAAGACTTAAAAGACAAGCAGGAGTTAGTCGGGCAGAGATTGGGGCTGAGAGAGGCTGGGATGAGGGAGTAAATTTGCAAAGCCAGGATACAGAGAAGAGCTGGAATAGAGAGTGCGGCATTTTGGAGAGTAAACAGGAGCAGATGCTGTCGGGGCCAGAGGCTGTTTCAAGAGTGGACTTTCTCCAAGAGCTAGGGAAGCCATTACAGGGTCCTAAGTGGGGGACTGTAGAACTCTGTGACTTTTGCTTTCTCATCGGTGCCTGGCTGATTCCTGAAGTCGTTTCCAGCTCTGACCTTGAAAGTCTTTAAGCAGTTAGAGCCTGCAGTTCACAGCCCCGGGACTGGGGCTCTCTGCAAACTGCACGTTCCCAACGGCCCGCGCCCCGGGCCTCCGGGTAAGTGCAACTTTTGTAAAAGATGGAGGTGACCTTGCTCATCTGTTTTTGGAGCGGGATGGACGAAGGGTGGGCTAGAGGAGGGGCCTTCGGGCCGTCGGAATGTGAGAGGCCGGCCAGGACGGGGCTTCCAGGCGAGCGAGCGCGGCAGCAGGCGGGACTGCCCCGCAGCCCTCCCGGCCGGCCGGGCCATTCTTCCTAAACCCCCCCGGCCACTACCGCAGCTCACTGCCTCTTATCTCGTCTCTGGGGCCTCAGAGGAAGGCTGCTCGGCCGGGTCGCCTGAAATCCGCCCATTGTTCCCTCCGGGGACCGCAGAACCACAGCAAGGGCGGGCGGCCGAAAGCGGCCGCAGGAGCCGGAAGCACCCACCGGGCGCAGGGCCAAGGGCGGCCTCGGGTGTGCGCAGGCGCAGGGCGGGCCTGTCCGGGCACGACGGCTGCGGTCGGGAGTTCTGCGGCCCGCGGCTGCCCTCTGGTGGACGATAGGCGCCACGGCATGGCCTCTTCACGCAGCAGAGGCCGGCGCGGGCCGGGAGGGGACGGGTCACCCAGCCCGGGGAGCCCAGCCAAGCTCTGTGTTTTTCCAGGTCCGCGCAGGGCCAGCGGAGGCCTGCGTGTCTGTTTGGTGGGAGCGGACTACCGGGAAATTAGACGGAAGGAACACTGCAGATCGGCATGCGCTGTATTGTTTGCGAGTCAACAGCCGGTAAGGTAAATGTCAGGTGAGAGCCATGCTGGGAACCACTGCCCGCCCCTCCTCCGGGCCTTGGCCGCGCCCTGACCTTGAGCGAGGCTGCGCTGGAAAAACAGCTCCGCTGCTCAGGGGAGCGGGAGGAGGGGCGGCAGGGGTGCGGGGAGGTGTCAAAACAGAAATCCGAGCTAGCCGGGCCCTGCCCACGCATTCCACGCCCAGGGCTGTGAACAGGGGATGCCACCCCTGCTGCCCACCCCAACGAAGATAATACACATGCACGAATCGCCATGCCAGAGAGGCCAGCTGGCTGCAAGGTGGGGGTGAGGGCAGAGGGGGTGCTCAGGGCCTACCCTGTTAGACAGTGTCTGAAGGGCAACCGCACAGGGAAGGTTTAGCTGAGAAGTGAACCCACACTGTGGAGTGAGAATTACTGTCTTTTTCTTTTTTTTTTTTTTTTTTTTTTTTTTTTTTTTTTTTTTTTTTTCCGTGTCCGGCAACGGATCGCAACCCTCAGTGTTGCCCCCGTACCGGACCGGGGACCGGCAACGGGATTGCAAACCTCGGTGTTGCTCCCACGCCTCGCTCAGCCAGTGAGCGGGAGCCGGTCTGCACGTGGGATCCGAACCCTCGGACGGGAGCGCCTCCGCGCTTCCCAAGCGGCGCACTATCCAGTGCGCCACCGGGCCGGCCCAGAATTACTGTCTTTTTCCACTCAGGGAATCATGCCACACCGTTCTCTACATTTCTCTCCACGAGCTGGGCGTGGCTGACTCCCTATCTCCTGATTCTGAGTTGCCCTTGATCTTGGGTCCCACCCTGTTCTTGTCTCAAGCAGTCACTTTGGAATGTGTTTCCCTCCTCCAAGATTGAAGGATTAGTCATGAAAATCGTCACTCGCCTTCTGCCCTTGCTCAAGGGTGCGTTGGTTATTCCATCGTTCCACCTGTATTTTCAAGGGCTGTCTGTTGGAAAATGGCTTCTTTAGGGCTTTCCCTCTTCTCCATGCTTTCCTGGACGACTGCTGGGTTTTGGGTGGGAGGAGAGCAGCTTCAGACGTGGAGATATGACTGATAAAGCTCTCACCATTTTTGCAGAAGTCATGCATTCCATTCAAGGAGATCCATGCTCTAGCCTCCGGACATTTCCCCTGGCTGCAGGTGCCTGCATCTGCGTAGGTTATCAAAGCACTTTGTGACTATGGAGGAAGGTGCCAGAAGCAGAACATGGGTCTAGCAGACTCACGGGCATGGAACTGGTATGGTGGTGTTGTGGAAATCAGGAAAGGACAAGAATGGGAAAAGGAAACCTGGTTGTTTACGAGTAAGATAGCCGGTGAGGCTGGTTCCCTGAGGATGTGGCATGCACAGCCACGGGAAATACAGACAGATAGGGAGCTCCACCCCCATGTAGAGCGCCATTCAATTGGACCAATGAGCTCCCACCAGCTAAGGTGCCAATCAACAGAGACTACCAGGGTTCAACCAATGACCAAAGGACAGGGATCCAGCTGGGAGGACTTAAACCAGGGGGAATGTTACTGACAGCCCTCCAGAGCCACACTGTTGGTGGAGTCCGCTCCATTCTCTATGGAGTGTATTCTCTTTACTAAATATACTGTACTTTGCTTTTCACCTCTGGCGTGTCTCCTCCAATTCATCAAGAACCCGGACGTAGCTGGCAAAACCTGCAGTTTCCCACAACATATTGGTTTCCTGACTGGGAAACCCGCAGTTTTCCCACAACAGTGACACCATGTCCCATGTTCTTCAAGAAATGTCTAGACTAGATGACTTCATTGGAGATCTGGCACAATGCCTTTGTCACACACAGGGGCAAATTGTGATCCAGACAGAGGAAGTGACTGGCCCAGGTCATTCAGCAAGCTGGTGACGAGCTGACACCGAGTTTATTCATTTATTGCACACATTTCTTGAGGGCCTGCTGTGTGCCAGGCACTGTTCTAGGCACTGGGGATACAGCTGTGGATGAAACGAGGTGCCGGTGTGGCGCTTGTATCTGCTGATGTGTATGGGGGAGACTGTGGGTAAACGAATACACACCCCATAATGCATGTAGTTAGACGTACTGTGATGTTCTTGTGCTTCCTTTCCTCTGTTTTGGAGGGAATGGGTTTGAGGAAGAGATGTTCACTCACACATTCGCTCATTAAATAAATATTAGTGGATGTCTTGCTGGGTGCCATGGGGGGCACACAGAAGAGCAGGATCTGCCTTCAAAAGTTTGCCACTCAATTGGGCAGATAAGGCATGCCTCTGAGCATCTTTGCATGTACTTGTACCATTTTTCCGCTCATTGTCATCCTCTCCTGATCTCTGCTGAAAAGAAGGCTTGCAGGAAACTCTGATTCTGAAATGGTGCAAATCCCTTCCCCAAAAGGCACCACAAAGTCAGCTGCTGCTACTGACTTATTGATGGGCATATCCAGTGGCCTTGGGGAGGCGGTGGGCAGCCCAGCCATGGCCTGTAATAAGGAGAGACAACTCAGCATCCTCCCTGCAGTGAATAATAGAACAAAAAGCTGCCAGTGTCTGCAGGATCAAAGCGCATGAACAATCACAGCGTCTCTGGGTTAAATAGATCAGCAGAGGAGGCTGGGGTGGCTGGTGGATGCCATCGAACTTTCTGGGAGTGCAGTTTGGGCTGCAGAGGAACCTTCAGCTGGAGAGAAGATTTCTTACCTTACAAGATGTTCTCCTGTGGCTCTCTCCTGTTAACCTCCCGTGGAGATGGGGGGCTCTTCCTCCATCCTTTCTCTCCACCACCCCTACCCCTAGAGCCGAAAAAGATGAGGCAGGTAAGACAGGAGGTGATGGGGGGAAGAATATTGTACCAGGAGGCAGGAGGTGCTGGTTCTGGGAGCGTGAGCAATACTGATTACTTCCTGGGCCTCAGTCTCTCCATCTGTGAAATGAGTAGGTTGAAATATGGCCTCCAGATTTCTGCCCACTTTGATAAACTATATTTCTCTGAAAAGAGGTAGAGAGGATCTGTTGCTTTCAGGCTCCCTGTCTAGTTACTTCAGTGCCAGGCAGAGTGATCACTGGCCATTCAGGGTCTATGCTCAAACTCAGTCTGTGAAGCCCCATTTCTTGGGGGGATCAGGAGGAGGGCAGGCAGCAAGACCATACTACTTATTCCCTCCTCCTGCCTGCTCCCACTTGCCAGTGGAGAAACAGCAGCAGCCTTAGAGTAATCTGGGGGGAGGATGGATTATTATAGGGATTTTTGTGTGAAAAGAATATTTTAACATGTTAATGTATGTGCCTTTAATATTTTTGCAGTTCTAGAAGACCCTGGCTGTGTGTGGTGCTCTGGGGAGCTTTCTCAGTCAGGAAGACCCCTAAGGTCCTTGGCAGGCTCTCAGAACCACACCCTGACTGCTGTTGTGAAAGTGTGTGTGTGCACGTGTGTGCGCACAGCGTCCCAAGTCAGCCTGAGGCCCGAGTCCTGAGCCTTTTGTTTTTCATCCTGAGTCAGCCCGTGGGGGAGGTAAGTGTATAATTAGAGGAAGAAATGTGCCAGGAAATAACTCATTTCACAAGTGGAAAGCCATGGAAAACCCCTCCTTTTGTGTGTGAGCACAGCAGCCCATAGGCAGGTGAGAAATCTGAGCACAGAGAAGAGAGAAAACCAGACTATTATTAAAGAAACTTCTATGTTGGATAAAAACCCACACAAACAGAGCATGTCGGTGTACACATGCACATGGCTCCTCATGAGCCTCATGGAGACTTGGGTGGTGGCAGGCCGGGACACGTGTGTACAACTGAACATCCTCACAAATGCATTTCAGTGTGGTAGCAACCAGTGTTATAGGTTGAACTGTGTCTTCCCGAAAGGTATGTTCAAGTCCTATCCCTCAGTACATGTGACCTTATTTGGAAATAGGGTCTTTGCAGATGTAAACAGGTTAAGATGAGGTCATACTGGAGCAGGGTAGATGAGCCTAATCCAACCCAACTGGTGTTCTTATAAGGAGGTAAATTTGGGCACAGAGACACAGAGGGAAGATGGCCAAGTGAAAAATGGAGGTGGATATTGGAGTGATGCTACATGCCAAGGAACTCCTGGGCTCCTAGAAGCTGGAAGAAACAAGGATTCTTCCCCTAGGCTTCAGAGGAGGCATGGCCGTGCAACACCTTGATTTTGGACTTCTAGCTCCGGAACTGTGACAGAATACATTTCTGTTGTTTTATATCCAGTTTGCAGTACTTTATTATGGCAGCCCTAGGAAATGAAAACACCCAGATACATACGTAGGATATGTGGTTCATGCCTGCACCCAGGGTGCACAGGACCTTTGGTGCTCGGGTCGGGTGGACAGACATCCCCTGCTCTTCTGCTTTCTCCCAGCAGCCTCCACTTCTCTGCCTTTGAGTTCGCCTGCCCCAGGGACCATGGGCTGCCACCTCCACCACCACAGCAGCCAACACTTTACATGCACTTCCTCTCTGCTGTGCTCTATTCTAAATGCTTAAGGTTGATTGAATCTTTACAACAACCCTAGGAATTGTTCCAATTCACAGGTAAGAAAACTGAGGCCCAGAGGAGTTTAATAACTTGCCCAAGTAAGTGAGGGCAAAGAACTTTGGGTTTGGTGGTAGATTCACACTTGTGTCAGCTGCAACTGGGAAATGTCTCTTTTCTGAGGGTTCCATTAAGGACTGTGTCCCAAGTCATGGCTGGACTCAGTCATTGGCTTTGTAGATTACTGGGCTGTGGTGTCCAAAGCTAGAACATCAGCGTACTGCTTGAAGAAGTAAGAGCAGGACGGGATGAGATGGGGGCAACATGGGTTCACGGTGTCATCCCCTTCATCCTCCACTGCTTGTTTTGATTGAGGAATATTTCATTCATTGGGGAGTATTTTATATACCATAAAATACACACATTTTAAGTGTACAGAATGATAAGATTTGACAAATATATTGTCATATAACCGCCACCCCAATTAAGAAATGAACATTTGCATCACCACAGAAAGTTTCCTTGTGGATGGTAAGTCCCCCTTACCATCAATCCCCATCTCCACCCCAGAAACCCCGATCCTATTTTTAACACTATAGATTAATTTTGTGTGTTCTCAAACTTTGTGTACATGGAAATATATATTATGTACTTTTTTGTATATCTGGCTTTTTTTACTCAGTGTAACGTTTTGAGATTCATGCATGTGGTTCATCCTTTTTTTTTTTATTGCTGAGTAATATTCCATTGTATGGATGTACCACAGTTTGTTTATGAATGTACCTGTTAGTAGAGATTTAGGTTGTTTACAGTCTTGTACTATTACAAATAAATTTGCTATGAACATTTGTATGGAAGTCTTTGTGTGGACATGTGTTTTCATTTCTCTTGGACAAATACCTGGTAGTTGATGGCTAGGTTGTATGGCAGGTGTATTTTCAACTTTTAAGAAACTGCAAAGCTCTTTTCCAAAGTGGTTGTACTATTTTACTCTCCCACCAGCAGGATGTGGGAGTTCTAGTTGCCCCACATCCTCACCAACACTTGGTATTGTCTGTTTTTAATGATTTTGCTGTTCTATTGGGCATGAAGTAGTGTCTCATTGTGGTTTTAATTTGTTTCCCTGACAACTAAAGATGTTGAATTTCTTTTAATGTGCTTATTGGACATATTTGTACCATCTTTTGTGAATTAATTAAGTCTTGCCAGTTTTTAAATTGGGTTGTTTGTTTTCTTGTTGTTGAATTCTAAGAGTTTCTTCTGTATTCTGGATATGAATCTTGTGTTAGATGTATAAATTGTGAGTATTTTTTCCCAGTCTGTGGCTTGTCTTTTCATTTTTAAAATGATGCCTTTTGAAGATCAGAAGTCTTAACTTTTGATTAAGTCTAATTGTTGATTGTTTTCTTTTGTGTTTTATGCTTTTAGTGTGCTAAAAAATCTTTGCCTACCCCAAGGTCACTAATATTTCTCCTGTATCTTATGGTCTTAGCTTTTATGTTTAGGGCTATGATCTATTTTGAATCAATTTTTGTGTAGAGTTTGAGATAGGGGTTGGGTTGGGTTCATTTTTTTTCCCCATATGCATATGCAGTTGCTTCATCACTACCTGTTGAAAAGACAATCATTTTCCTATTGAATTACTTTGCACCCTTGTCAAAAATAAATTGATAATATAAGAATAGGTCTGATGGCTTCCAGTTAAGATGACAGAATACATGGTCCCCAGTGTGTGCACGGCCCGTCCCATGGAAAGTGTTTGGAGTGAGAGGGGTGGGGAAGATGGGCCATTAGGGGAACATTGGGGCACAGCGAGGACAGCTAATCTGCCCTCCAATCAGCACAGGCCTACTCTGTGTAAACTGGTCAAGAATATAGAACTGCAGGGGGAGCAGTTTGCTGAAAAGACTCAGGACTAGACCAGAGTTTCTACACAACCTAGGGGTGATGGATCTCACGAGACCTGGAAGTACCTACAAAGTCAACCATTAAAACCTGAACTGCACCAAAAAGCCTCGCCAGGAAATCAGTAGCAATGCAGCAATTTAGCTCAACCACAGGGCTCAAGTGCTGGTCTCCACAGGAAGTTCCCCCAGTTTAGAAGTAAGCAAAGGACAACAAAATTAGTTCCAGTACAGAGTTTAAGTACTGGAAACAGTGAATAATTCAGAAAGAAAGAAAAGGCAAAATACCCACAGACCAAAGTTTGATATTAACTAGTAAAGAGGTCTCATTTCACCAAAGACCACCTATAAAACCTAGAAGGACCAGAACCCCCCTGGACCCCCAAGTTAGGGATAGGGGAGGGCTGGGGACCTCAGCCACACACCCCCAACATCCCATAACCAGTCCAGCGACAACCACCAAGCCACCTCAGGAGGCACCCCAGGCTCCTGAACTGGGATGGTGGGGGCTTCGGGCCTCGGCCACTCCCCCCTTACACCAGCAACCAGGCTCAGCAATGACCACTGAGCTGCTGCAAGAAGCACCCTGGGCTCTTGAGCCCGGGCAGTGGGGGGCCAAGAGCTTCAGCCAAACCCCCTTGCCATCTGCATTCAGCCCAGCAACAACCAAGCCACCACTGGAAGTCCCCTGATCTCCCCTCCAGGAATGAGAGAGGTGCCACAGGCCTCAGCCATACCCTCCCTCCTTCCTCCTTCTCCCAGCCTATTTGCTTACCCCATCTCCTCTCCCCCTCCCACCCTACTGCTCTTCACCAACATTTTAGAATATATAAAAAGATGGAGCCAGGGACCAGCCCCTCCTCCCACAACCAGGCACACTGCAGCTGCCACGGGCCCACCTGGGGTCCTGAGGTATGGAGTAGGGGACTGACCCCTCCTCCTGCAACCAGGGAAGGAGCATGCCAAAAACACTACTTCCATGTGGGTGGCCCACCACAGCCACCACAATAGCCACAGCTGCTGCAAAAGCGGCTAGATACCACAACCACCATGCAGATGGCCCTCCAGCCACTTGAGTGCATTGACACAAGGGGAGTCACCAGCAGAGACCAAAAAAAAAGAAGAGGATGTCTCTCTCCACAAAGCCCATTCTAGAATGACAGAAGAAGCATCTACTCTATGATAATACTGGGGGACCTGAACACACCTCTCAGCATTGGACAGATCATCTAGGCAACAAATCAACAGAGTAACCATTGCTCTTTCAGACGGAGAGAAGAAATCTAGGGTTAACAGAGGTGGGAGGGGGGAGGAGAGGGGGATGGGAAGAGATTAGACAAGGCACATAAGGAATAAGTACGATTTGTAATAATATATATGCTAACAATATTGATCAACATATGTCAACGTTGAACACCAAGAATATGTATAATCAATTATAATCTAATAAAAAATTACTGTTACAAAAATAGTACTGTATATAGAAAAATGTAAAAATACATATAGAAAAAAACAGAATAAAAAAAGAATAGGTCTATTTCTGGAGTCACTATTCTATTCCATTGGTCTATATCACACTGTCTTGATTAGAGTAGCTTTTTAATGAGTCTTGAAATCAGGTGGCATAAGCCCTGATCTTGTTTGATTTAAAATGTCGGTATTGTCATGGAATTTTTTTGCATTACATTTGCTTTTTCAACATATTGCATTAAAATATTATGTATCTTGATTATTGGGATTTTGCACCTGATATGAGTGTCTCATTTGCCTCAACCTTATGCCAGCCCTGCTTCCAACTTTGTTCTTTTTCATTATTATTATTTTTTTTTTTTTTTGCTAGTCTAGGTTGCTTGTATTTCCATACAAACCTTAGAGTCAGCTTGTCAATTTCCACAAAAATGCTTGTTGGGATTTTGATCAGGATTACATTGAATTTATAGATCAATTTGGGATCTTAACAATATTGAGTATTCCCATATACGAGCATGGTATATTTTGTCATTTATTTTGATCATTCTTAGAATCTCTCAGCATTATTTCATAGTGTTCAGTTAGAGGTCTTACACATCTGTTAAATTTGTTCCTAAGTCTTTTCTGTTTTCGATGCTATTGCAAATGTTTGTTTTAAAAAACATTTAAAATAAAATATTTGAAATAAAATGTTTAAATGTTTCTTAAAATATTTAAAATGAAAAATTTGTTTTAAAAATCTGTTTCCAACTGTTGGTTGCAAGTATGTAGAAATACAATTGCTTTTTGCATACTGATTTTGTATGCTGCAATTTGTTTTTAAAATCTGTTTCCAACTGTTTGTTGCAAATATGTAGAAATACAATTGCTTTTTGCATACTGATTTTGTATGCTGCATGCTTGTTAAATTCATGCATTAGTAGATTCCTTAGGATTTTCTGTGTAGACAATCATGATATCTGTGAATATACACAATATTACTTCTTCCTTTCCAATACATGTGCTTTTCATTTCTTTTTTTTTTTTTTGCCTTGCTGCACTAGCTAGAACCTCAGTAGTATGTTAAATACATTTTTATTTCTTTTTTTTTTTTTTTTTTTTTTTTTTTTTTTT